AATTTTCATAGTTCCCATATTTTATGGATTTATTTTTGCTCTGAGCACGACACGTCGTATTTTGGGCATTTCCAGCGAGGGGTCATATTTGCCTTTGAAAAAGGTGTTTTGGTTGTCGGTTGTTGACTTTTACATATTCGTCGTGGTTCAAGTGCACCATAAACCCCCTCCACTCCCGCTCTATGCTAGTTTTTCCGGGAAAAATCGAAGGGAGGTGGCAGGTAGGATGGAGAAGGAGGTCATATTGGAGGAGGGAATTTTTAGGGGGGGGGGGTCGTATTCTGCGAAATTTTTTCGCAATGGCAGCACGTCCCATGGATTCGAGCACTAGTGCGACATATTTGAAGATTTTTTTGATACCGTTTGCTCAGTAAAAATAGAACACTATATTTTGTAATTCTATTTTCAAAAAACTTTATAAAGAACTCACTCCAAATATTTCAGGATCAGGGAAGGCGCTAGGCGCCGAAAGTTGGTTTCACTCGGCCTAAAGAATTTCAAGACGCTTCGAAGAAAATTAACCTTCTGCAGTAAACACTTTGAAGTCCCAGATTGTTTCAAAACATATTCACTAGTATGAACCTTCTAGGCGGAACAATACCAGAACATAGCTTCAATAGTTAAACGAGTTAGTTTTGAGAAAACAGCTGGAAATGCGTAGTAATGTTCCATAAATTTACTACAAAACGCCTATCGATGATATGTTGGATGCGGCCTACTCAGTTTTTATTCTATTTTATTTATTCATTCATATTTATTCAAATACACCAGAAGGTGCGCCGCATAGTTTGGAAGAACAAACTTATTGCACAGTGATACAGTGAGAAGAAAAGAAAACAAAAGAAGTTGTGAATAACAATAATCAAGATAACGAAGAGAGCAATAGTAGGAAGCGGGAATGAGATATGGAACCTCCTCCGTGCCAGGTGATAAGGTGGTTTTCCCCATCAGATAGATGAAAAAGTCCCCACACGAGATCCTGGTCCTTGGTTCTGAACGCAAAGAAACGAGACGGCAACGGCACTACTGGGGCTTGCTGATAACGTAACCCGTTAGCGTGTCACTTTAGGCTGAAGGGTAGTGATACACGGGACGACGTCGATTCCGCGTACTCCGTTTCGCTCAGCCCGCGGTCCAGCCCCTGCGCTGTGACTATAAGCCAAACTCCCGTTACTAACTCTGCCCCTCATTGGCTGCTTTTCCCTACCGCTCAGTGCGGGATTTTGGACCGAGGCAATTGCTGCGCATAAGGGATAGCGCAGGCCGACTAGGGAGACGTACCCCCGGTATCACTACCCTCTAGCTCCTTCCACTTCTGGGCAGACAAAATGGCGCTGCCCATCTGCGGACTCACCTCGCATATAGCAAGGATCGTCTTCGGAGCTGATAGAATGAGTAATTTAATTTTTATTTTTCTCTCCCTTAAATTTAATTTTTTATGAGGTTAGTTATACTTCACGACTCCGGTGTGAAAGCAGACGAGCAATGTAATTTGGGGGAATGCACGCCGAAGACATGCAGTGGTTTCTGGTAACGTGAAAGAATAGGGGAAGTGGGGGAATAGGGACAATCGAGGTTTGGGGAGAATAGGCGCCGAAGGAATAGGTGGGTATCGACTATGACAGTCTCCAACGCTTCGGGAGGATAGGAAAATAGAGATTTTCGAGGATTTGGGAAGACACACCTTCCCCAAAAGCTGCGGCGTCGCAAATTACCCCCAAAGCGTTGATTCGCCGATTGTCCCATTGTTCCGCTTTGACCATTGTGTTAGTTCTATCTAATAACCTCATAAGGTACAAATTAATTGAAACACATGAGCGCAACCTTATTCGAGCAAAGCTTCACCCTGATGTTTCCGCTAAGTTGTGCGGTGATCCACCTCTTTAAAAAGTCGTTCGGTGTGAGGACAGAAAATTTTTGAAAAATTTTGTTTAAAGTCGCTCAAAATGAGCCACTCAGAAAGGGCAACTGCCACTGCTAATCGCTGTATGGAACTGTTCACGGTCCGTTTTTGAAGAAGAGTAGAAGCATACCCAGTGGACGCACTGCCCATACTTGTCCATAAACAATAATATGTTAGTGGATTCGACTTGTTTACTGACTCTGAAAACCAGTTTTACGCAAACAGTAACGGATAGATGTTTGTTTTTGTATTCCACATCGCGGTGTTTCGATGTTTACCATTTTCTTTTCCTTCACGGGGATTTTTACTTCAGTCTAGTCATTCGTTCTTAGTTTTGCTTGACTGGGCTCTCATTTTAGAGATGCATTTTCTCTCATGGATCGCAGCTACGTTATGGGACTCGTTCGCGACTTTAACAGAGATATTTCACACAGGATAAGGTACGTTACGGGCACAGACGCCAGTTAGATGAAGTGCGCAGCCACGCCCTCCCCATCTTCGAGGATATGGAGTTCGTGTTCAAGTTTAAGGCTCTATTCCCTTTTTTAGTTGCATTGGAGAGCCCGCTGCGACAACGCTGATGCTGTTAAAGTTGGATTTTGTACGGATCGTGAGCTCCCATGAGCATTTTGTCATTCTTAATCTTCCATTTGGTCCGCCTCATAGTGTTCCGGCATCGAATTCGTCGTCATCCATTTGTATATCGTCTGGTAACGGAAGTTCGATAACACAAATGGCATTGAGTCCCGAGTCTGGAAGTATTTCGAGCAGGTGAGCTTGCTTCTTTTTATACTTTGTACGTACAACACTGGCTGCTAATGGTTATAAAGAAGTCTTCCGCGGTTGGTGGTAGGGGTGTGTCAATGGGGCTGGGTTTGACGCGCCGCGAGCCCATTCTTAACCAGTTGTTGAAGTGGGTAAGCGACAACAATTGGTGTAAAACGGGCTGATGCCGCGCCAAACCCATTCCTCTGACGAACCCCATCATCCGCAGCAAGCAAGACTGTACGTCATAGTTTTATCCCACCCCCCCCCCGTGTTCGACTTCACTGTAGCTTTCGCAATAACGTTTCTGCTTTAAAGGTCAACAACCACTACACTGGACTCGTGGGGATCGTTAGGATCGGGCGAACTGTCGTACGAATTCCGCCGTTGTCATTATCTTGTCGGGCTTGCCTTAGCTGATCTCGCTGCTGTTCTAGATTCGTCAAATAGTTCAGTACTGCATGCAAGGTAAGTGGTAACCTTCGTTCTTTTTCTTGTTAATTGCTTGATAAGGTTGCGTTCATACTTTGCGGCACGTGCGGTTTCCAAACGCGCGACTGCGGCCGACTGCGCTCCACCACTAATCGAAGAACGGTAGAAACGTTAAAAACGTTAAAATCGTAGGTTTTTTTTGTAATATGATGGACTTAGAGTCACATCTTGATTCACACATGTTCGCAAAGAAACGCTATTCGTTCACTATTCAGCGCAACTTGTGGTTTGCTCAAGTGGCAAAGCATAGGAGGTTGACAACTCTATCATAATCAAATATCATTTATGATGGAATGAGTTTGAATTTAATTTTCTTACATTTTAATTTAGGATACTTATGCACACATTCACTAATTGCCTCTAGGGAGCCTTGTGTCTGTTATTCAGCAAAGATATTTTTAGAGCTATTGGTCTCGTACATAATCTCCTATCATCTCATGAAGCTGACAGTCGACTGACTGATCCCACCATACGAGCTCGGGTTGCGGGTCTATACTTACCCTTAGTAACTATAGTGCTTGATGTAGCCGGACAGATCCACGATCCTTTCGCAAACTCTCCGACTGGGACGAGGGAGGGATTTTGGAGGCAGCTTTCTATGAACACAAACCGCTACGGAGAAATTTCTGCTTTGACTGAGCTCTTCTATGGTTTCAGCACCGTTTATTCAAGGGAAGATAGAATGGCACGACAAATTCGCTGGGAGTAAAATCCGAAGCTCAGCCTGGCTATAGCGGTATACTGACCATTACACATTCCGGTTACCGCTCCATCTCCGGCCCTAGACCGACCCGAGATGAACAAAGGTACAGAAGAAATAATCCCGGGCACCGAACTGTAAGGCACCGGAAGAGGTCGCGAAAAAAAGACACAGCACCAAGGCACGTAGCCGCTGTGGACGTCTAGCCAGGCTGCGACAGAGTTGAAGCAATAATGAGACAAGAAGACGACCAAAGCAGTGTTCAACCATTGAATTTCAAGACAGGTTGGTCTACTTAGTTTATTTTTCTCACTAGTAATCAGTTTCGAAATGCTTGTTTATTGTGCACTTTTTTAGTTAGCTGGCAATGACTTTTGTTGGGTCCTGAAGAAAGTAAGAAAGCATATCATCTCGTCATTAGGGCTCCGGAGAGCTTCCTCGCAGCAAGGTCTCTCAACTGGTCTAATGTTCTTGCAACTTGTGTTTCATGTTTTGATACAAAGGAGAGGAACGCGCGGTTCCGTATCGATTTTTGAACAATACAGGGTTTAGCTTTTTCATCCAATCAAGCTGTTTTCTTAATCACTCTCTGCGCGCAGGCCCGACTATGCCCTTCTACCCTCCTGTGACGAGGAATTGGTGCCAGAGTTGTCGGGAGGATAGAAACACTGACTTCTACATAGGCTGGCACTGGATTCATTGTATACTCACACAGTCATTGTATAGGCCTCGCATTCCGAGTAATGCACTGCGAATCTGAATGGAAGTAGAATGTGTTCCGCATCCCAAAGAGGGATTGATTAACGGCGAAGACTCGATCCTATATCCTTTAATTGATTTATGATTTCTCTGCTTGCGGACATGGTATGCTTGCGTGTGAATAAACAGGCAAAGTATTTCATAAATAAAACATCCGTCAGAACCTGAATGAATAATAACAACTTCAGGTTACTAAATCGGGGTTAGGGGCGGCATTGCCGCTGTCGGAGGGAAGAACTAGGCCGCGCTACGGTGTTCACATCACCCTGACCCAACGGCTTATTGTTATGGTCGTGAAGGGTCAGGCAAGCAGAGTCCGAGACGAGAGGTCTTACACGAAAGAAAACTGCCAGTCTGAGCAAGGCCTAAGCTCTTGTTTGGGGATGGGACACAGAGGCACTGCCTAAAGCGGTCGCACCACCTACTTGAAGCGCCAAATTTCAACCATCAAAGTTAATGATCCATGCCAAGCGCAGGCTAATTAACCGTCCCCATTAATGAAGGTTTTGTCGAGATTAGGGTGTCAGCCAGCCTCGTATACAAATTTTCATCGATTTTGTTGAGAAATTAGTGAGCCACATTGACGCCTGCTGGCGCCCATCGTCAAAAAGAAAGTCATAATCGTGAATGGGGCTCGAACATGCCCTCCATGGAAGGCAAAGAAAAACAATGTTGGAAAAGGATACACATCTTTCATTTAGAGCAGCAGTGATCCATTTCGCCCGTTATCGATTTATAGCCAAATTTTTTGCCAAAAAACATCTTGAGTTTCGGGTTAGGTGTAGTGGAATAGTGCCGAAAGTTCTACACGAAAATCTCTCAATGACGAAGAGTTCCTCTGTTTCTTCAGACTCTTTTCGAGGCTGGCCCACAGTCTAGGAATCAGGCTTTTTATTGTATCATTTTAGCGATGAACATTGTTTTTAAGGTAAAGTTGGACATGTGATATAAGGTAGGGGTATTTTGGAAGTATTTAAGTGTTCTGTTACTGAGCACTTCTTCTAAAACTGCTGTTCTTCAGTCACATTCTGAGAACGGTCATGATCTGGACGAAACTCTAACGGATTGTGTCGTAACTCGCCGTGATGGAGTCAGATGGAGAATAGGACCACCGTCATACCCTTTTGGGGGGGAAAGCTGATTCACGCAGGACGAGTTCGCTGTGTACGTTCTTAGATTGTTTTTGTTCTTCTCTTTACCTGTGCAGTTCATTTGCTACGATACTATTAGTATCACATCACCGAGTTCAAGAACTGTAATAAAGGCATCTTAGCTCACACTCATCTGCCACGCATGCCAACATCTACTCTAATTGCAGAAGCGATGTTTAGTGGCGAAAATATCTACTACACAAGGCTCCCTTACTTATAAAAAGGCTATATTAGCTGATAGGTTTCGCCTTGCCCCCTCCTGCTCCCCCGCTTTTATTCACTGCGAACAGCCGGACTACGTTAATCCCCACTCATGCTCGATAGTAATCGTAGTTGAAGTAGGACGCGCCAAGGCATAAGTTGTTGGGGAAATCCCCGACAGGGGGTCGTATCTGGCCACCATGAGAGGGGGTGGTCGTATTTGGGCTGAGAATAATTTATTTTAATAGTTGATTCCTCGCCTCACGGACGTTGTTAAAGGGGGGGGGGAAGTCGCACTTGCTCATTGTTGGGACGGAGGGGTCGTATTTACTTTCTGACCTTTCTATACGGTGGGATTAATTGTTGACTTTTCGTGATTTTTCTGTTTCATAGGGCAGCTATACTCCCCCCCCCTCTTCGCTCGGACTGCTTGATTCGTGAACCCTGAATAATTTCTATTTTAGTGTGCGAGGATGAGACCTTGTTAGAAGCGGCACTATGCACAGAAGTGATGTTGTGTGTATCTGATCCATCTGGAGAACTATTATTCGAGGTCGATCTCCATGCATAGCCAAGTCGATCTCATCTTGCATTTCGCACTACGAATCGGTACGCGGTGTAGTAGTTTCTTTTTAGTTTTAAAATCTTTATGACAAGATGCCTAGTGTATTCTGCCAAATCATTAGCCGTAGACGGGACTGACAATCGTACCTCGCGGGTTCGAGTTCCGCGCGCAGTGAAGGCTTTTCGCTCAACCTTTCGGAGCACGAAATGCGGCGTTATGTAGCAGTCATCATAATAGAACAATGCTATTTTTCTCTTTTCACACCTTTTGCTACAGAAATACCAACACCTATCGAAGAGGGTCATAACGTGGTCCTTTTGCATGGCACAAATTGACTCATGTTCTGCCTGAAGGGGTGTTTTGCTTCCACGTGATCAGAAAAGCTAGCTGGATGGCAGAAACAATTATGCGGGGCTTATCGTTTCCGTTTGGTGCTGGTCAGTTCCAATGTCTGGTAGTGTTGAATGGGTTTAACGGAGCGAAACGGTGTCACTTTTTCATCCGAAGGTGTAGCTTCCGAAAACACATGTCACCATTTATTTTCAGTTGCACATGTTATCTTGCAATCAGTCGGTTCAAGCCTTGGAATGTATTTTTGTAAGTCAACGAACGGTTGTGAAAAAGTTCCCAGACATGATTTTTGAGCAGGTGAGTTTCATTTTTTTTTCTTCATCATATCATATTTCAAATTGTTGTATCAAGGAGGCTGAACAATGTGGAGAATTGTGCTTACAACTTCTACGTCATTGTGCATCTCGATTACCAGCTGTTCGAACGCAGGTAATGAGTCCCACCTAGAGCTGTTTTTTTATTATTCATCGCAAAATCATAGGCCGCCGCTAGCTTGTATTTGCTGATGCGAGAGAGCTTCGAAAGTGGCAGCAGCTTGGCAAGAGTGAAAATGCAAATCACGATGTCATTGTCAACGTTGGTGTCGAATGCAACTAGGGAGGGTGTATGGCTGAACGAAGATTGCCTAAGAAGGAGTCTGAAGGTTAGTTTCTGCCTGAAGACCTGTTTTCGACTTCATTAGTAGGAAAATTTTGAGATGCTCTTGGTTAGTTTTGTTTCCTTTACGGTGATAAAATACTTTGGGGAGGTGTGTGGGAAGGAGGGGAGGGGAGACTTGAAGGGTCCCTTATGCGAAATGGGGCTTTCGCAACGGAGACCCACACTTGTACCCATACCGAAAGAGGGAAGGAGCACTTTTTGTAACATCGGTAAAACCGTGCATGCATAGGAATTCTTTCCACTCAGTGACTTGCTATTCATACTTTGCTAATTGAAGAACGCAGAATGCGCTGTGTAGAGTCGTAGATTCTTAAATTTCGCCAAAGAGAAAAGGTCTGGACGATGCGCAGGAGTAGTAACTTTGTTCCTGCGGATGCTGGAGAGTACCAGGCAGAGCTAGGTTTGGCGTTGCGCCTGCTCGTTCTCCACCAATCGTTGAAGTAGGCAAGCGACAACATTTTTTGCCGTTGGTCCGGAAAATGCCAGATTGGCGTCCGCGCCAGAGCCATGCCCCTTGAGCACGGGGGCCCCAGCATGAGCAGCCAAAAGAGACTGTATGTATAATTAAAGGCGATTGCTATGCTGCCACCGCCGCAATCTTGCTCGCATTTTCCTCAAATCGTCGGACTCTTCTCAATACAAGTGTTCTCTCTGGCACTCGACCGTGGCCTTTTCCCTCTTGCTCTTATGCATCACCCACGTTGCGCGATTCTCCCCAAATCGCACATTTTTCCAGTTGGGGAGCAACACCAGCTGCTGGTGCATGGATGGCGTCTAGAAACATAATTGTATCCGTGTCAAACCAAACTTTTGATGTTAAATGCGGCATGAGATGTTAAATTTCTCGAATGTAGTGTTCGTATGGGTGAAGAGTTCCGACAGTGCTGATCTTTACTCCTGAAAGCAGATGCAAATTACTGCTGCCTGACACACGCGTGCCAACTCTAGGTTTCGCTCTGAACAGCAGGTAAAGTATGGGCCGGGCGTATTTCCGCAGGGCATGATATAGTGTGTACAGAAATAATTGTGGAATTGCAGGTCAAAGATCTCGTTTGTAATATTCATATGATACTCTCCGATACAGTGAAGCTCAAAGAAATTTGCTAAATGGACGTGTTGAGATGACCATTGATCCTCAATGTATCGTGTTGCCGAAAGGGATATCAAGACGAATCCCTGAATCTCCTAGGTTTCGTTACCATTGCTATTCACTTTCGATCTACCCGGTACTTAACTGTATATATCTACTTAACGGTGATTAAGAACACCGCGTTCACCACTATCGTAATCCTAATCGCGGCGAGCGATCCGATCGCCGGGTTGGCGCTTGCGCGATGGCGAAGTATGCAGCGCGCTGCACGCGATCGGCATCAGTCGTGCACCGCGCGAGTCAACCAGCGTGAGCCGGTTGTGATCAGGTCGCGAAGTGTGAACCGCTGAGAGTCCCTGCTTCTTTCTGATTATCTCTTAAAGACTTCTGCCGAAAATGAACATGTTTTCAGCTTCATTTTTATGTGTTGTGGGCTTAATGATTGTGATTTAAAGGCTGACGCTGGATTGCTCAATATGGCATCTCGTCATGCAGATCGAGAGCTTTATTGTGAAGCTGGACAGTGTATGCTTCATGCTGCAGCCTTGGCTGCGGAGTACATAGGTTTGTTTTTCGTCGTATATATCTAAACAAATATTGCATTGCTGGAGAAGTTTCCGCAAGTCTGTTTTTCCGTGGCTTAGCTGTCGGCGTATTTTTTGTCATGGCTGTGGTATGGAGGCATCTTGTTGTAAAGATACAAAGGTTTCCGCTCGAAAGAACCAAAAGTTGAACACACACGAAGAGGTATGTGTGAGAGGTCGCTTCGAGCGACTGAAGGAAGTGTTTCTAAAGCGATCTAGCTTTTAGCTTTGTCGCTAACAGTTTTAAATTTTTGCGGGCAGTGGCTGGGAGAAGGCGCGTGGCCGCTCGAATATTCGCATAGACAGTAAACTTTCGCTAGTGCGCCAGAAGACAATGCAGTAGCGCTCGGGCGCGTACGCTCGGGACGCTGCATTACGCAACGTGTCTGGCCGTAGGCTCAAAAAGTGACGCAAAAATGGACGGCGCCAAGTGAATTGAAAAGATGAAGTAGCTGGCAAACATGCCATTCGTTTATATATACTTGTTCTCCATTCATATGTATGTGCGGTCCAGTGCGCCCATTGGGAACATAGCTAAATAAGAAAACTGCAAAAATTCAATGTACCAAACGATTGCTCGAATCAGGGCACGCCGTGGGTTGGAGATCCTCAGCAAGGGAAGTCATATTGGCAGCAGGAGGGGGCAGGTCGTATTTTGCTATTGAGAAAGATGTTTCCAGGGCTGATCTTTCTTGTTTTCATCCCATATTCGGGAGTTAGTGACCTAACACCACCCTGGCTGCCCAGTTCTGCCATTCTACGGCAGTTTTTTCGAAAAAAAGTGGAATTTCCACGGAAAAGTGATTTAACGAGGATGTAGAAAAGTGTAAGTAGAGTGATGAATGGGGGAGGGGTCCGTAACGCAGAAGGAGAAGGAAAGTTTTGAGTGAGCGTTGGTATTGTTGGCAAACAGTGTCCTGTTGGACTGGCGCACTGTCTATCCCCGAAAAAACTTTGCGTAATAAAGCAGGCGTTTAAAAAAGAGAAAGAATTCATGTAACTCAGTAGTGAAGTTTCCTTGTCGGAATAAGCAACATATTTTAGCCATGACAACAGTCTTGACGAGTACATGCCACGAAGGGAGCGGCTCCGCATTATTCGAAAAGAAGTTAGCGATAATATGTTTGGAGGCAAAGAGCCGTGTGGCGATGTTTCTGAGGTGGGTGGCTACAATTCATTTGTTGCAATTTCTTCAGTGTTTCGATAACATTTGAGCCATTTCAGTCCCGACGTTGAGGGGATTTGTGAATCGCGACATTTCACAGCAGCTGGCCTGGTAATTCTCGTCGAAAAATGTGCAGCGTTCTTCGAAAAAGCTCATATGTATGAAATGATGCCAGATGTGTTCCGTGTTAGTTGTTTTGGCATTTTTTTCCCATTTCTTGACAGTTTTTTGATGATTCCTGGTTTTCGCAGAATCTCTTAACCACAGTATTCTGGTGTTGATTCTAGATTGTTGAGCCAATTATACGTGAGTGGCGTGACTACCGTCGGTTGTCAACAATTTATGCACGTCTCAGTGACGCTTTGGCACGTATCGAGCCGACTATTCCTGTGTTGGAGGATGCAGCCGATATTTGGACATCACCCTTGATGAAGTGCGTGTACTTCTCGTAATGCTTTCTTCTTTTCCACCATTAATTTTCCTCAAATTCGCCGTAATGATTTTATACTGGAGTGCTCAATTGCTAGCTTATTACTTCACCCAATCCGAATAAGACGCCACCTTGAAACCCCTGGGGAGCTAGAGATCACAGAGAAGTGTGTACGAATAGCTAGAAGGAAGACAGTGTCCTTAGAGCGAGCGCTGGCTAGGCGCCGACGTGTGCTGAGGCCGAGCGTTCATAGCTCTGCGACGCATGAAGAAATACAGCAAAGTGAAGAAATGCGGAATCTGCAGAAATGCAGAAGTGAAGAATTGCAGAAACGCGGAAAATGCAGAAGTGCGGAAAGTTCGGAAGTGTGGAATCTGCAGAAATGACGAAAAGCAACCGATACGTATCGATTTTCCGCACTTTCTGCATTTCTGCAGATTCCGCACTTCTTCACTTTCGGCATTTCTGCATTTCTTCATGGTCGCAAGCTATGAACGCGGCCTGAGATCGATAATCGTACTGTAGAAGGCATTCCACAGTTTCCTTGTTCGTCAATGTCGCAAAGTATGAACGCGACTGGCTGTTTGGGAGAGCGACTACACAAAGCCGAAAGTTTTTAGCTGAAAACCTAGGATGTTTCTCGTTGGACTTTGAACCAGGGTCCACATCCAAGCACATCTGTTTATTTTAGTGCAGACAAACGGTGTTTTGGGACATACTTTCGTGTTGGCTTCTATGGCTCACGATTTGGAGATTTGGATGGCGAGGAGTATGTATACAAGGTAGCAATTTTATGTCTTCAGTCGATGTTTACAATTTTCCGAGGGGAAAGACCAATGACTTAAATTCTTTTGGTCGGGAATTTTTTTGATTCTTCGGTCAAGCTCGACAGTTTAGTATTTTATTTGGGATTTTGTAAACTTTAAAAAACCGGAGAAAAAAAAAAAGAGATAAAGAAGAAAAAAAACGATAATAAAAAAACTATGGATTAAATTTGAAATTCCAAAAATGAAAAAAAAAATTTATAATTAAAAATAACATAAAGAAACAATTACAACAATAAGCACTCAAAAAAAAAAAAAAACAATAAAGAAAAAAAAAAAATAAGGAAAAAAATTATAAAAAAAAATTAGAACAAAAACCAATAATTAACAAAATAAAAAAATTCACTGTTAGCGCACAATTCCGATGTGTCCTTATTCTGGAAACTGTACTTTTGAATTGAAGCCTGTTGTCTACTTCCCTATTTTTAATTCTACTCTTGATTCCAGAACTTCTCCATAATATGCGTTCTTGTTCCCCGCTCGCGTGACCGTATTGACGTTCCCCAAGGATTTTCCGTTTAAACCAATCTATTTTTCGTTATTTTTAAACCAATCTATTTTTCGTTATTTTTAATCTTTCAAGTGGCTATCTCATCAAAAGGCAGGCAATGCTCATTCTGTGAGCGGGAATGATTGAGTTTTTAGCCGAGGACAGGATAGATGAGGAGGAGCAACCGACGGTGTTTCGGAATGAAAGGGGGGGGGGGGGGGGGGGGGGGGGTAAGGGGGGGGGGGCGGAAGGGGGGGGGGGGGGGGGGGGGGGGGGGATGATACATTTATTATTGATGCTTTCTCTGGCAAATTTGCGTTGGAAATCAGTAACAGTCCTTGTTTCGCTAAAGGAAACTTGGGGGCTGGGTTTGACTCGGCGCCAGTCCTTTTTTTCAGTTATTGTAGGAACTAACAGGGCAACACAATTAGAGGAAAACTGGCTGGGCTTGTCTGTCTGTATACGCGGCTCCTCCCTCACAGGGGACGCCCTAGCATCTGCAGGCCGTGAAGACTGATTTTCGCTAGAGTAATGTTATGATCCTTTGATGAGTTTTTGTCATATTTTTCTCTTCAAGGAACCACCATTTACTAAACTCTCGGAAATCAGCCATCGTTTGGAATCGTTCTATACGGATCGTTTCGGCAAAGATATCGTGGAAGTCATAAAGGATTCCAATAACGTGAGTTGTCCATTATCATAGCCCGTTTGCTGTTATGCTTCCTATAGCCATACATCCTGGTCTTTACTCTGAAGGTTTGTCCGAAAAACCTGACATGTGTGAGCGGCCCATTTGTTTATAAACAAGGAGATTACGTTTTCTATTAGCAGTACCATTTAGGTGATTAGAGCATCTCTTCAATCATCCAAAGCTTATTTGCAAATAACGTATGTCGAACCGTATTTTGAGAAGTGGGAGAGACGGCGGCGACCGACACCTTTCGAGCGTAGTCACAAAATAAAAAGGTATTTTGATCTTTTGCTTTATAATCGATTTGAAACTTTGATTCCCGTCTGATCTATAGGTTCAGTAATTGTTTTATCTTCACCTTAACATTATTTGCTTGTTTAAGACAGTGCCATATATGTATATCGTGCAAATATATTTTATGCCTTTATTTACTTGACATTTTAGATTCATGTATGCCACACCGTTTACGCGGGATGGGAAGGCTCATGGTGATCTCAAAGATCAATACAAGAGGCGGACCATTCTGACAACGCAGCATAGGTACAGTTACTTCAGTTATCTCGCGTTCATATGTGAATAGGTGATTCATTTCAAAGAGTTGCAAGGATGCTCCTTCCTTAATCTCAGCCGTTCAAATGTTACCTTCTTTTTAGTTGGATACTTGTAATTTTCTTGTCCGTTATAATGGAAAGAATGCCGCAAAGCACCTTTTTCACTGAACTGATCAATAAGGCATATTTGGCTGAATTTGGCTTGTTTCACCTTTCTTCATGACTTCTTTCCATTTCCACCACTACCATTTGTTGCTGGTTTGACCCCTGGACGATCCATCGGCGCAGCTCGGCGACGGGGAGCATTTTGCACTTTCGTCGCTTCACTAGTTCAGGTTTACAAGTCTCACTCTGGTAAAACTCTTGTGAAGCTGGAGCAAGCTCGTCGAGCCACCATGGTAAAACCTGTCAACTCAGAAAAGGCTCTCTAGATGGGTGGACACGTTGATGGGAAGTAGCAAAAGTGCAAAATATCCCCCCTCCCTCGTCGCCGAACTACTCCGATCCTACATCCTGTGCGTTGGGTATTCCCCTGACATCTTTGGGACAGGAATCGCCCTGATTAATAGTTGCATATGAAGACGGGGTGACGGGTCTCTTGACCAAACCACGAAATCCCGATTTTAGTCCCATCCCCTGCAAGGATCCCTCCTTCGTTCTGACCGCCAACCCATCGCTGACGTATACGTCCTGCCCGTTGCAGGCGGAGTCCGGCCTAATTTACGTTGCACCGTGCACTTTGACCGAATCTCCATTCATATCGAACCTCCCTGCTCACAGAGATGGTTGTCTGTAATTCCCATTTCCTGTTCAGTCAGAGGGATTCTTTTTGTAGCCCTCCCCCTCTCCTTCACCGCCACTGCAAAAAGCCAATACGTCGGTGGAGCAGTAGCACTAGTAGTAGATTTTCAACTCGGCGTTTTCTTTCTTTATTTGAACGGCTGTAGCTGCTCCCCGAAGTATACTTTTCAGTTTTCCCTATGTGAAGACGCGTATACGAGTTGTGGAGCGAGAACAGAAGGTGCTGGAGCCAATCCAAGTTGCGATCGAGGATGTAGAGAAGAAGACCAGGTGACTGGCACGGTTTTCTAAATACGCAGTAGTGTTCCTACGTTGTATTCTTACGAGGGGGAGGGGGAGCGGCTGGAATGTTGTCAGCAGTGTGTTTGAAGTCATGTTGGATGTTCTTCTTTTCAGAGAGTTGTCTGCGGCCATTGCTCAAAATCCACCGGATGCTAAAATGCTTCAGATGGTTTTGCAGGGATGTATTGGTACGACTGTGAATCAGGGTCCAATTCAGGTGAGTGGTACTCCTTCAGAAACAGAATTCCGACTTACTGAAGCAAATTTTGAGATTCTTTCCAGGTGGCTAACGTGTTTTTGACGGATATAGCGTTAAACGAAAACGGGAAACCAATCGATAAGTTTCAAAACAAGTTGAGACTTTGCTTCCATGACTTCTCGAAGAAATGCGCTGATGCACTCGTGCTGAACAAGCAACTTATACTCCCTGATCAGTTGGCTTATCAGGTACGTTTACTCGGGAAGGTTCCAGTCATTTTATGTGTTCAATTAGGGTGTGGATTTGCCCGAATACTACGATTTTGTTTATACATAGATTGACCCGATCTGGAGAATCGAGGAAGTGGAGAATCCGCTGGGACTAATAGAAACTAATTTCACCAACTTCCACTTGGTAGTCGGAAAATCAATTTGTTAGGCTGTGTTCATACTTTTCGTCGCCATTTCAAGCGTTTCAGGCGTAAAAGAAAGTGTGGAAATGATCTGCCGTTTTGAGAGAAACGCCATCATAGCGAAAAGGAGTGTGTTGTTATCGATCTAGCGTTCTGAGCAAACCGCCAGGGTTTTGAGTGTTTCGCACGATCAGGTCGATAGCTATAGTTTTCCTTTCGCCCTAGGCTCTCGAAATGTTGGTGTTCTCTCAAAGGGTTTGACCGTTTTTTTTCCCAGACTGCAGAATCGGTACTACACCACTTTTCTTTTCGTCCAGGAAATGTGAACGCTCGTGAAAAGTATGAGCAATTTAAGGGATGCATAGATTCAGTGCAGCGAAATTTGACCTTTCTTTTACGTTGTCCAAGACTTTTATGGAACTAAACGTGTAGAGCATAACGTCAGACTTTCAGACTGAGCTACAAAAGAACTACGTTGAATTTACTCGTAAAATGGCTCCAATTATGGGTGGAACAACACGAGCTAATGACCGTAAGGATTTGGTCACTAATGCAGAGCACGCCTTAGCCGTTGCTGCTGAGATTGGCCCTGTGACTTCTGTGTGACGAGAAAGTGAAAGTTTGTATTTTTGTTGTTTTTATGAAGTCAATCTGTTATTATTTTTAATATTATTATTATTATTCGGTTGTTAATATGAACTAATATCTCGGCTGTCAATTGAGAGTCAGTCCCTTTTGCCCCTTTTCACGGGCAGGTTTGTGCCAGTGATGTAACTTTTAGGAAATTGCTGGGTATTATATGGATCGCTAATATTCCTTCCTTCGCAATTATTTTCTCTTTACGTTACTACGTTCCCCTGATTTCATGTGATTCGTGCTGGTTAGGTAGTTAGGTCCACAGTCACCCAAGGTGATGCGGACTGCATCAGGCTACGTTCATACTTTGCGCGCGTCACACCAGCGATTAGGATAAGCTTTCATCTACCCAGCATCAAGCCTCGCACCAGGTCGGACTGCAAGAGTATGGGGGAGTAAGATGATAGCAGACCGCTGGTCGAGTGTCAGACAGCCGATTTAGGCGTCGTGAAATTGTGGTGTGTGCCACCACACTATACTGCTGCTGGTAGAATGGGGTAGGAGGAAGCAGGTAGTTGATTTAGGTGTCGAGAACTAGTGCTGTGTTCAACCGTACATTAAATTGCATGTCTGTTCTTTAGTAATTGCACGGTGCGGTTGCACGCGCTTCACGACGCCTAATCCAGCACTCTGCTCCCTCCTACTTCCCTATACTCGACCAGCACTCTTTTCCTCCCCATACTCTATCAGCAGACTGCTCCCTCGCACTTCTATATATTCTACCAGCAGCCTGCTATCGTACTCCTTCCCTGTACTCTCCACTCCTGGTTGCTAGTGGACTAGGTCGATAACTACACTTTCCCAATCGCTGGCTCTGACGGACGCTCGAAACGCTGTTGGTCACTGGTAGACGCTGCCCGCAAAGTATGAACACATCCCCACATTCTACGGTAAGGTACATGTTGGAAAATGTGAGCACTAGGCGGAAAGAGGGTGGTATGGCTGTGGTGGGCTGTTAATTGCGGTTAGTCCGAATTGTATAGAAGGTTTGCGGTAGTTTTCTTCGTAATTTACATGGCGTGTCGCGTCATACCACAAGGACGGCGGGAACCGCGCTTTGAGTAGTCTAGCAAATGCAGGAATGCAAACGGCGATGTATGGAGGCCCAGGCATAGTTGATATCAAGCGGGCACCCGGTGGTGAAGTCGATGACTCTCTTATGCGCGTTCATACTTTGAGAATGTGGAGAATTTGCGATGCGGGAGAATGGGCGGCTTGGTATCAATTAAAAGAATACACAGTAGAGGAGTGGGAGAGGACCGACTGATGCTGCCCACCACTGAATCGCGCAGTCTTCAAGCTAGCGGATTCTCCGCGCTGGTAAAGAATGAGCACTACTCTGCAGGGGCGGAGTAGTGCTCATTCTTCACCAGCGTGGAGAATCCGCTAGCTTGAAGAGCTAGCGGATTCTCCAGTAGCAGGATGAGAGGCCAGGGCATTGGCCTCTCATCCTGCTACTGCTTATTTCCATTCTCGTTTCGGTCTTCAATCAAATAAGCCCCTGTATGCTAAAACAACAGCAGCTTGCCTGGTTGCGAGACTGGGCTACCTAGCGAATACGAACCATGAAGTTGCAGATTTTTCCTGATTCGTTACGGGGAACTCAAGTGCTATGTTACTATTCTTTTTCTATGCAGTTTGTTTCAACATATACTTCTTTACATAAGACAGTTCATATATTGATTCCGGCTTTACGGTTAATTTGAGCACGTTTTTCTCATGTTTTAATCCTATGAATCTATAAAATTAGCCAAGAATGCCCATTTATATTTTTGTTTCTATGCGTTGCTTTATCGATTTTGTTCTCATCTCCTTTGCCTTGTTCTCGCGATGGTTGCCTCTACACGTCTGACGGTGTGCGTCTAGTTTAGCTCAATCTCTTTGTACAAATATCGCGCAAGTCGCATTAAAAAAAGAGCAGTAAAACCGGTTACTAACTTATTCGTGAATGACAGTATACTTTAAGATTGAATCCGATCTATGACACATCGTTCTGCATAATGACATGATGCTTTGCCTTTCGTATATTGTATAGGTTTAGGTTTATGATGTAAATATTGTTTAGGTAATAAATTACTTAACAGTTTTTGTTCCGAACGCTTTTATGATGCTCAGCTCAGTCTGATCATTACTTACACCCCTGCTATGGGAAGTTTTCTGAAATTGTTCCAAGTGTTCCATAGAGTGTTTGCAAAACAGGTACAATGCGTGCTCCCGCCCACTGTCACTATCCCCCTCTCGAGTCCTTGAGTTTTGGCGATACTAGTAAGGAATGTGTTATCACCTTCTTACACTCTAACCGCTGCGAACAGGTTGGGCGTTTCAGGCAAAATGAGTGTGTCACCCGCCTGAAAACCGTTCTTTTTCTTCTTGTTGAAGCGCGAAACGCGACAAAAAGTGGTAGAAAACAAGTAACACGAACGATACGATACAGTCATATCATTTGCTCGCTTTGCGCAAGCTGCATGGGAAAGGGGTTTTTGGCACTGCGCCAAATCATCGCCTGGCACGCCAAGCGTCCGCAGCGAACTACGCTATACATCTACATCTTTTCTTGTTATATTTATTCGTTTATTAATTCAGTTTTCAATGCATCAATAGGACGCGCTATAGCGAACAGTCATGAAACAACTGTTAGAGCGCGTTCAGACTTCGCGATCGCACGATCCAGTTCGCGCAAACTGGATCGTGCGATCGCGAAACTGAACGCGCTCTTAACGATCAGAGTGAGCAGGTTCATCCAACGTTTTGAGCGTTCGCTGGCATACGCTAGCGTTCGTTCAAAACGCTGGATCGATAACTAAACTTTCCTAGTTGCCCAAACGCTTCCGTTCGCTCAGAACGCTCTACACAAAGTATGAACGCACTTTCACTGCTCTCTATTAAACCGAATATGTTTTAGTAATTTTTTCAAAACTAGATTCGGGTGTTATACCCTGTATTTTGTTCATATTGTTTGTGTTTGAATTTTAGCGGATTCCGAGTACTTGTTCAATCCAGAAGTGTTGACAGCAGATTTGGTCGGTGCAGTGCCAAATGGCTTTCTTGTCAGGCCATTGAACGATTTAGCCCGATTATGACAATGGTTTGTTCAGACGACCTTGACTAGCAGTTTTTAGGCCATGGCTCTTTATGGAAATACAGGAATTCATGATCGTAAATGACACAGGGAAGCGATTTTCCTTTAGGTTCCTTGACGTCCTTGCGCAGTTGACTGTCGTTGGCGATGTATCCCGTGAACAGTTTGAGAACAGATTCAATACTATGAAGATGTCTTCTCCACCTTCATATTATGTGGTTGTCATCGAGGATTTAAGGTGGGAAACAGGTGTCTTTGAGTCATTTTAAGCTCTCTATAGTTTGCGACATGGGAAAATCCGAGAAGTCGAGGGATACCCATCTGCTGGTCGAAGCCGAATTCGCCTCGAACTTACTGCTTCACCGTTTTTAGTCGGCTTTCCATGCAGGTAGCAGTATTGTTACTGCTCTAGTCTAACAGTTGTGATGATTGTGTTCAAGGCTGACAGAGAACTGTGCTACCCTGGACGTGTAAGGTAGCTTTCAGATTTCACGATGACGCGCATCGGCACACTACGATCGCGGCATCGCTGCAGCTGTAGACGCGAGCGCAGCAGCAGACAGGAATCGATCAGCTTTTTGGCTGCTACTGCTTTGGGAGAGTATATAGGAACAGAAGCAAGAAAAGTACAGGATAACAGGAAGGTGGGAGATGTCTCCGCAATCTGGTTTTGCCAGATTGCGGAGACAGCTCCTACCTTCCTGTTATCCTGTACCTTTCAGGGCACATCATTGGTTGGGGATTTTGGTCGAGTCCGTACGACTCCCCCCCCCCCTTTTTTTTGGGGGGGGGGGGCAGGGCGAAGGTGGGGAAAGTCCGCAGAGTTTCAACTTCTTCCAGTTTCCCAAAATTCTCGAAATTCACTTTTCCCCAAAAATTTGCTGTCAGAGAGTACTTGTGGGGTAATAATATTAGGTCGTTGCAAAAGAAATGCAGGATTTCGTTTTTTTGTATTTAATACTTATTTTATTCCAATAAAATGTAAGTGTTATATATCATTCGAAAGCTTATCTAATGCTCTTTCTAAATGATACTTCAAGATTGGTTGTAATTCTTTTTAGACGCAAAATCGTCTGAAGGCGTTTTTTGACATCGTTTGCGTTTTAAAGCCTTTTCTCTCTAGATAGTTGTCCAGATGCACTTGCAAAAACGCTGGCATGATCGTGGGCGACAGGTCTGGTGAGTATGGTGGATGAGGCAGAGTTTCATAGCCCAATCCGTTTATTTTCTGGAGGGTAAATTGTGCAAAGTGTGGTCGGGCATTGTCGTGGAGAAGAGTCCGGAATCGTGGAGTCCCTTCATATTGACCAACCTTGGGCACATGCGTTAAGGCTTCTGATGCATTTCGTCGATTTGTTGACAGTACTTCTCTGCCGTAATTGTTTCACCAGGATTCAGGAAGCTGTGATGGATGAGACCGGCGGCAGACCACCAACATGAAGTTCATCTTCAAGGCTGGTGTTGCCACAGCGAAACTTCTGGAACCAACGTTGGACCGTAGATTCGTTGATACTTCCTTGACCCAAACTTTCGTTGATGTTCCGAGCTGTATCGGCAGCGTTTCGTCCTAGCTTGAACTCATAGAAGAAAATAGTGCGAAATTCACGTTTCGACATCTGCAATAAAATGTCAATAAAAATTATAATAAAATGAATTACAACCAATCTTGGAGTATCATTTAGAAAGAGCATGAGATGAGCTTCCGAATAGTATATAACACTTCATATTAAAGTAACATATTATTGGAATAAAATAAGTATGAAATACAAGCAAGCAAAATCCTGCATTTCTTTTGCAACGACCTAATAAACTACGCG